ATTAAAATCCATTTTCCCTGCTTATCTGGGTGAAAGGCGCTCCCATAGTGCTCGATGCGTCCATGTTGCTTCCTTAACCTGGGATCAGCATCCTGGAGCCCCACCTCAGTGACCCCGACAGGACAGAGCTGATTGATACCTGCCTGGCCAGCGTGCTTGCCCTGCCACCCCTGGAACTGGTGAAGGAGAGAGATGAGAACGGAGGCGATGCCTTACACAAGGAGGTGCGGTATCCAGCAGGCTGAGACAGGCAGGGAGTAGCCCATGCTGCTCCCGTGCCTGCCTGCCTCGAGCTAGCATTGGCAGCACAAAGCCAATGCGGAGCTAACATCGGGTCGCTCACAGCCTGGCAGGGTGATACGGCTTTGTTCTGCGGCGCAGGAGCTGCGGTCACGGCTGCTCCGGGACACTGGTTTCGGGGCAGCGCACAGATGCCTTTTCGCAGTCCTGTGAGCCATCGGGTCCTGTGGCCCCAGCATCTCCCTGGCAGCAGATCAGCCATGGGAAAGGCCTGTTTTTAATTCAGCTGGGCACCTCGGGGGAAGCAAGCTGCACTGTTTCCTCTGCTCACTTATCTCTTGAAAAAGCCTGGCCCTTCTGTGCACTGATAGCAAGTGAGAAAATATGAGCTTATCAGCAAGTCCAAATGCTGCTAATAAGAGCATGAACTCCCTTGAGGGAAAAAATCAAATGATCCTGGAAACCCTGCAGGGCAGAAGGGGCCTTTACATAACTAGCTTTTGAAAGGCTGCAGCTGCTTCTCAGTTGTGGTTGAGTGCTTAATGAATGAAAATAACATGCTGCTAATGAAGCTGTTGCAGCTGCTGGGTGGCTGCGGAGCAGCCCTGTGCTCCACCGTATCGCCTGCCGCTGCTGCGGCTCCTTCAAGGTGAGCTGCAGAGCAGGAGCCTGGGGCTCTGACTGTCCCTGGCTAGTGTTTGCAGGCATCTGGCCTAAAAGTTTAAGTTAATCCTTTTCTCCTTCCCTTCCACCCTATGAAGCTTTGTAGTTTTTATTTTTTGGAGTTTATCCCCAAATAAGTCCTGGAAGGAAACTGTAAGCATCTTCAAAAGGCTCATTCAGACTGGGCTCGCTGGAACTTATCCCCAAGTGGGAGAAGGACCAAATTCCCTTCTGAAAAGTCTGCGCTGAAGCATCTGTGCTAGCATGCTCAGCTCTGGCTAGCTTGCTGGCACTCGGCGCAGACCATGGCCACCGCTATGCTGACTCCCACCATGAGCCCGGCACTTCCAGTGAAGGTGGACTTTGCAAACTGGGTTGCAGTCCCTGCTGCATTTCCCTGCTAACCTGGAGGTGGCTGCATCTTGGCACCCGACGCCTGGGAGAGTCCCACAAGCTGAGAATAGGTGCAGGGAGAGATCTTTCCCTCCTTGCGTGCCCAGGCTGGCTCTCTGGGATGAGGTGCAGTGCTTGCGTAGCCTGTGATCAATCTTTCCTCCTTAGATGCTGTATGGTGACACCATCAGTGCCCTTAAAGACCTGCTGAAGAGTCTCCTGCAGAGGAACTTGACCCCCCATGGGCTGCAGGACATGTTTGCAGTAGGTGCAGCCTGGCTTTGGTGGGTTCTTCAGGGAGAAGCAGGGAAACGGAGGTGCCTGCCTGCTGACCAGAGGTCACGAGGCAGAGACCGCTTTGGACCCCGAGTGGGAATTAGTGAGACTGGTCCTCACTTCTCCATGTGACGTGAGGTCCACTGTGACCCTACTCCCCCTCCTGCAGAGGTTGGGCACACAGCATGGCTGCGCTGGTGCTTGCCCATGCTGCCTGACTGGGGCAAGGTCTCGAGGGGAGGAAGCACGCGATGGCCCCTTTGGGCATGCCTGCTGGTGCCCGAGAAGGGTGGCCAGCACGAGGCTGATGAGGAGGTGTCTGGTAGCAGGGGGGGATGCGCACGCAGCCTCCCCAGGAGGCAGAGACCCAGTGTTGTCCTGAAGATGAGCCAGGGTAAGCTGGTGGGGTCAGGGCTGTAGTTCCCACAGCCCACACGTGCACCGTGGGTCGCTGGCTGAAGGACACCTTGGCTGCATGCGGCAAAGCAGCCGAGCTTCTGCTCTCCTTTCTGATGCTTTTCCCCTGTAGCATTTAGGCCCCTGGATCAAGTCGAACAAGGAACACGAGCGGCAGCGAGCAGTGGAGGTCAGCGCCACCTTGCTAGACTTCTACCTGAGCAAGCTGAACGTCAGCGTAAGTAAACCCAGTGCTCGAGCGTCTGTCTTCCTGCTGCTGTCAGCCTTATAGAATCATAGAATCATTAAGGTTGGAAGAGACCTCTAAGATCATTGAGTCCAACCGTCAACCCAACACCCCCATGCCCACTAAACCATGTCCCTCAGCGCCTCATCTGCACGTCTTTTAA